CAAATGAAAAAGTATCCGTCAAAAATGATACATTAACCTACTACTGTTTAAACGAATTTGTTACGAAGAAACGAATAAAAAATTAAAGACACAATCCAATAGACAAAAATTTATAAAAGAACATTTTACAAACAATTACAAATTCCAATAAAAACTTATCTTTTCCCGTTAACAAAAATATCCTTTGTAACTGTCTCATCTCATATGGGATGAGATAAGCTCCATTTTCAATCGAAAGTATTATCTTTGGGATTTGACAGAAACGACTAATGACGAAATCAATTATATTTTTTCCAGAAACATACCCAATCTTAAGCTCTCTATTTTCTAATAAACTTTTATTAGAGAAATTTTTTGTTTTATTTCCCGCTTAAAAGTTATAAGCAATATCGTCCTAAAGAGTCTCAAAAGAAATACCACCTAAAAATTACATTAGCTTTGGAAGGATCAAGTAGTCGTTGGAAAATAATTAAATGTTCGTTGTTTAAAGTGCATAAATATCATTAAGAATAAATAAAAGGATTAAACTCGATAATTATTTAATACAGTTAAAACAAAAGGTGATGATAACAATATCCTAACTTAAAAAATAAATAAAAACTTAAAAAACGCTTTCATACTACATACATACAATCTATTTTCTATATGACCTCCTCTCATTTCAAGACACATATCCAATCTTCGTACCCCCATAAAAGAAATCGAAGGGTGTTAGATCTGGTGACTTTTTGGGACACTGAATAGGTTCATTAAGTCCAATCCATTTTTCTGGGAAAGAAAGTGTTGTAAATATTGCTGCACAATCCTGGCCTTGTTGGGTGGAGCCCCGTCCGTCGTGCTGAAACCATAAATTTCTCCTTAGCTGCAAAGGCACATTCTCCAGAAGTGCAGAAAGTTCTTCTTGTAGGAAATGTAGGTAACTCACGCTGTTCAATGTATGTTCCTAAAAATTAGGCCCAATTCCGATTAAATTCCGATAATTTGTTTATGCGCAAGAGTTCAAAAATGGTCGTTTTTTCAATTGCTAATAATTAATGCAATTTTCATCGCAGACACTTGTAATTCAGGATTTTTGAGGCTTTTTTGTACCCTTAATAAGTGATAAAAATTTCAGCCCGAAAGCTTCATTAGTTTGGTGTTGGCGGAATTTGCTATCTAAGAAAATGCTATTTTCAATTGATTTTTCCCAAGCTCAAAGGCGTTGTAGAGTTTCGATCATTAGTTGTTTTTGTACCTAAGTAGTTGTATTGNAATTATATTTTTTCCAGAAACATACCCAATCTTAAGCTCTCTATTTTCTAATAAACTTTTATTAGAGAAATTTTTTGTTTTATTTCCCGCTTAAAAGTTATAAGCAATATCGTCCTAAAGAGTCTCAAAAGAAATACCACCTAAAAATTACATTAGCGATGGAAGGATCAAGTAGTCGTTGGAAAATAATTAAATGTTCGTTGTTTAAAGTGCATAAATATCATTAAGAATAAATAAAAGGATTAAACTCGATAATTCTTTAATACAGTTAAAACAAAAGGTGATGATAACAATAACCAAACTTAAAAAATAAATAAAAACTTAAAAAACGCTTTCATACTACGGCGGCAATTGCTATAAAATTTAAATCTAAACAAAAAAACATTCAAAATGGGTTAAAGAATGGTTACTTAAAAGAAAACAATTTTCACACATAAATCTTTTGCATGAATTACGACTAGAGCCGGGAGATTGGTTTAATTATTTGCGAATGGACGAAGAAACTTATTTAGAGCTGCTTACTTTAGTAACACCATAAATACACATACCAGGAGCTATCTCCTGCAAGCTACTTGCATGCTATTGTGCAAGCAAGAGGCATGTGTATTTCCGCCTTTACTTGAAATTCCATATAAAGTATTACATAAACGACTTATAAAATAAAGACAATAAATACCATAATTGCTTTTTTTGCTGTTCTTGTTTTATTGAAATTCTTGGAAATAATAAATAGTGATACACTGTATACACAAAGAGAGAGAACGGGTAACTTTGCTATAACAGAGGTAAAATTGCGGTAAAATTAAGAATTTTCATTAAAAATGATTCTGCAATTTTGTAGTAGCCTGGCATATAGACATCGTAGACATCAGTACAAAAAACGGTTGTAAATGAAACTGTGAAATTGAGAAAATCATAAAATGGCTTGTATATTTGCCTTTACAGTTACAATGAGAATATAGTACAGCATAACATTTTCATAAAATGATCAAAAATAAAAAAAATAATGATAAAATTAAAACAAGGCGTGTAAAAAAAATATGGGAAACAATACTACTGCTCCATATCTTTGAGACTTGACTTGAGACCAAAACGACCAAGTGTGGTGTTGACATTTTTAGTATAGATATACGCAAAAGACTTAAAAAGCAAAAATATGTTTTTTGAGATTTGTCATTCTGAATCTAAAAGATGTACGGTTTTTTGCAAAAATTAGTTCAAGCTGTTAACCACAAATTCTTTAGGAGAAAATAATTAGATTTTCTTTATGCCATATTTAATTTAGGTGTTTCCTTTAGAAAATGGTTTACAGAATGTCAAAGCTCCAATTAAAAAAAGGCTTTTTATTAATAACTCCGTTGTTTTAGATATTTAGTCAACTAAAATTTTGCATAAAGTTGTATCTATTCCTTAGGATATATATTTTGTGTAATTTTAATAAACAGAATCAAAACACAAACGGAGGGAGGGGGTTAGAGTTTCCATTTAAGCCCCCCACTCCCCCCTATTTTTTCCGGTATACGCTATCGATTTAAAGACATTGTTTATTATCTTAAATTATCATTCTTTAATTATTTTAATTCTCATAAAATTTATTTTGAAATGGAGCCTGATTTTCGATAAATTGAAATTTTTTGAAGATGACAACAGAAAAATGACCGTCTTGACAAGAGTTTTGGTTAAAGTTCTCTTAACTTACTCTTATTTAAAAAGTTAGATTATTTAAATTTATAGATTTAAATTAGCTGCAATTCAGAAAACAAGCAAAATATAAGAAATCAATATCGAAATTTAAAAATCAAATGTCTATCACCTTCACGAATGTAAACGAGGGTTCTATTAATGAGAGACAATCAAATATAATGGAAAAAATTTTTTCGCAATTCTAATAGTTTTTTAGGATTAAATAAGTCATAGTGCACAAAGGATTTAACTCATTGGAAGAGCTTTAATTACAATAAAAATACTTTAAAAAAATATGCATACCTACTCTATTTTGAATACTTGTGGTAAAAATTTAAAAGGAATATTCTGTCCGACCCTATAGCATTTTGAAACTGTGTCACATTTTTTCCACACTTAGGTAGCAGTAGCATATCCTTATCCAGCCGTTCTTCCTTCAAATGTAACCGCGAACTTGCAACTAGTAACATATTAGTCAAGGTCGGCAAAAAAGTATGCAGCCGACTTTCCTTCTGATTGATTACGATTACTCACTATTATTTTAAAATATGGGTTTTATAAGTGACAGTCTCACGAATTAGTGATAGTAAGGTCTCTGATTACGTGTGTATGAACTATTTTATACCATACCGAACAATTAAGTTAACGATTTTTTTTATGAAAATGGGTGTTGCTTTATTAACTTCGTCTGGTCTGGACATATTTTTTAATACTATTCAAGCACAATTGCGAATTGGTAGAATAATTAAAATTAAACTGCTTAATCATCGGCTCAATCTCTTCATTAAAAAATAGATAGGTATGTAATTTTTTTATCGTAAAATATACAAAATCCAATTGCTGTTGATATTTATTTTGATGCAGGAAGTTATGTCGGTTTACATTTTTTATCGATCAAAAGAGATCATTTTGAAAGACCTATCAGGTAGGTCAATCCCCAAGGTTAAACTTAAGTTAGTTATTTTTCTTATTCAGCAGATGCAGGATATTTAAAAAATGTGGTAAACTGGTAGGCACTGCGGAAATAAATAATGAGAAACTGTTTGTTTATAAAACCTTGGAAATGCATCTACACTTATTTTGTGTGGGTAGCTACAAAGTGTCCCAACTAAACGGTTTCACAGTTCGAAAATAAGTATAATTTTAATTCATAATCAATTTCATAGTAGGTAGATAGCTGTAAATTTGAAACAATTGAAAATCATTGATCATTGACATGTTAATTGACTCAGTTTGGCTCCTTACTATGTGATTAAATAAATGCCATACGAAATTTGATTAATTGTCTGTAATTAATAACCAAAGCTTAAGTTATTGAATCAAACTCACTCACTTACTTTCAGGGCCGTAGCAAGGAGAAGCTCACTGCCCGTCCTAAAATTTGTCCAACTTAGCATAGCAGTAATCAGCAGTAATCAATAATCATAATCAAATTGCATAGATGAACAAAGAAGTATTAACACACAAATATATTGTGTAATATCTGTAATATCTAACATAATTATATTATAATTATAATAATTAATAATAACAGTAATAGGTACATAATTATAATTATATAATAATCTGTAATAAATATATATAATGTAAACCCAAATAAGCATAGATACAAAAAGGTTTACTTATTATTACGTTACAGTATTTTTTTGTTCTGATAATATTTCTTACTTTTTGATTTTCTGCGTCACATGGCATATTCATTTTTAAAGCAACGAAAAAATTATCTGGTATATACGAAGCAATTCCACAGAAGAATATTGTTTAATCTTCTGTGGCAATTCCTTCTTCCTTCCTTCGTAGTAAAATAAATTCAACTTCTAACTATTGCTAAATCTCTATACACCTTTGTATTTAGGGTTGCCTAATACAGCAGGTAAATTTTCTGTTAAAGTTTTTATTTGCTTGTAAAATGTGTATAGTCATTTAATAAATACTGAAACGTACTCTAAATTCGGCAAATCAAATAATAGTCAATAATATTGGAATATAATTTTCTTAAAAATATTATTATAACTTCCTGTAGTTCCAAGGTCATAGGTCAAACTGTTTTTGACAGCAAATGGACAGCTGTCAAGTGAAAATATTTGTGTGGTGTTCAATTATGCAAGTTTATTATTATTTATAAAGTGTAATTGAAAGTTAATAAAATGAGAATTAGCCGCTTAAACAAGCTGCATCCAACCAGTACTACTTCTAATAGACTGTAAAAGGATTTGAGAGTGAATGATAACATTGTTTATTTTAAATTCTGAAGTTTATGTTAGTTTTAAAGTTAAACAAACATGCCAGTTCCTCCAATCCCAGTAGTTATAGAACCCGAAGCAGGTACAGTAATGATTCATTAAAATAACAGAATAGCATGTTAAAACATAAACATTTTGCAGAATGTCGAAGTGTCACCGACAGTGTTGGTTCTCACTCCGATGTTTCTGGAAACACCGTACAGTCTGGCAGCACAATGATCAAGCCTCACATGGATGTCGTTTGTGTCATTGATATATGCCAGTCGGATAATTTGACACACCGTAAAAAGGCCCTCGAGGAGGTTAAGCAGGCTTGCATGCTGGTCGGGGCCAACCTGAACCATATTCAGGTATGATAGAGATTGTTCAATTAAACAAATGCCTAAAATCTTTGAATTAGTAAAAAATTCTCTGTCAAGTTTCATTCTTCTGCGCAGCGATGCAAGTGTTTGTGACTTATGAATTCAAATAATTTATTGAAACGACTAAGAAAAAGTTATGAAATATAAGCTTCCAAAATTCTGTATTAATAATAGAACAAGTTATTCAGTTATTTTACAGAAACAAAAATTTGATTTACAGTAGGTGCATCCAAGTGAATTTGTATTTAACAATCCAAAGAAGGCATTAGAATCTAAATATTCCATATGTATTTCCTGTTGATTTCAAAATTTTTCATTAGTTTTTCTCGTTTAATATAAATGACATTGTAAAAGATGGACTTGACTGTGAATCATTGATAAAGAGCTATTAAGTGACTCAGTCGAATAATTGATTGAAGGGAAAACCAAATTATTATCTTCCTAGAAAGTGAAACAATTCCACTGTCTTCATATTTACATTTCTGAGAAATGTGGATACAGAAAACATACATTAGATAACAATTTATGTAGGAAGATTAAAAACATTTCAATTAATATGAGATAAATATACTTCAAAATCAACATGAATTATACATTTTAATTGGTATATACATATGCATTACTGAAACTGCAAAAAATATTAAAGTGATATGCTTTACGGAAGTGGAAAAAAGCTTTTATACAAATCACTTAATCATCATGTAATTAAAACATATAAAAAACAGGGCAAAAACTAGAAAGCAGTAATTGAGTGAACCATATGCCATAAAATTTTATTATTACTTCTTCTATACTATAATATTAAACTTCAATACATTTTATTTGTGTTGAAGACTCAGCCTAATACAATAATTCACGCAATGTCTTATAGTATAATATTTTTTAGTTTGAAAAATTAGACTTTGGTGAAGCAAATGTGGTTAGCAGTTTTTACAATGCCGATGTTGTTATCATCGATTTGTCGCTTCAAGTACAACAGAGTACGTTATTTTATCACCTGGGGGTGAGGGAAAGCTTCAATATGAAACAAAACATTTTAATTTACAATGATGTTGATCCTGAAGTCACCTTACGTTTAAAGGTAAGTCTTGTCAAAATAAACAGTATTATTCATAGTATGATAATCTCCATTTGATTCTATAAATGTATTAAAAATAGGATTGTTGTAGTTGTGATATAAATGATTTAATCCATTTGTAAATAAAACTATATTTTTATGCTCATATTAATAAAGTTTTCCTTCACAGACAACTGATAAAGTATGACAGAAATATGTGTTGCTTAAACGTTCAAAAATTGTTTAGGAATTTGTGTAGTAACTGTTGCAACATTTTTGATATTATTGGTGAAAATGAGGTAAACCTTCATAGTTTAAATTCATATGTAAAAATTCCAAATATATCTAAAGGAAACCTGGGAAGGAAACGGGAAATCTAAACAGATTGTATTCTTTTAAATAGGCGAAAACTAGTGTTTAAAATTAGAACCCCTGTTTATTTCAAAGTGTATTATTGTTATATCTAGCCTTGAAAATTCAGAAAAATAAAAATTACAGATGCAAATCAATGTAAATTAAATAGAAACTACTTTTCTTCAAACTGAATAATAACCTTCTCAGGGTCAATCTGTAATTTCAAACAGTTATTATTGTTATGAATAGACTTTAAGGTCATTACAGTATTACAATAGAAAATTACAGATATTCAGTTTATGTGAACAACAAATAGAAACCATATGGTATGTTTAAATAATATTTGCTTCTTAAACTAACTTCGAAGTCTGCAAAGACTGAATTTATGCAAATTTGAAATATAAGTTGTGAAAATTATAATGAGGCTTGGACCCAAAAACCAACAGATACTTACATACAAAAAGGTGTTTTCTGTTTTTCTGTTGTTGTTGCTGTTGTTGCTGTTTTTCCCAAAAATTGTATTCTTAAAGTTACAATTTTATGAAGTTTGGAAAATAAAATTTTAATATCAAATTAAAAATAAAATAACTAGACGTTACTAAGAAGGGAAATTAATTTTGCAAAAAATAAAATATATCTACTGATTATGAAAAAAAAAAAAATTCAAATAAGCGTATGTGAAAATTTTAATCGGCCACTTGAATTTTCAATTTTGCAGATTTCATTTGAAATTTTTTCATCGTTAAAATTCTCGGTGTGGGCATAGATATCATCCTCGAAACAACAGTGGGTCATATGCTTCATTATCAAAATATATCCAATCGGTATCTGTTTTGGGATGGATGTTTTATATAGTAATGCTAATTTTTGTAGGAAATAGTTCTAAATATTATGTAAAATGATGATTGTGATATGCGCCCACTGAAAAAGTTGTGCATAATTGTTAGCGCAAGAAAATGTAAAAATTAAATTAAATAAGGCACATTTTTCTCCCTTCTTTCATGTATAACTCGAAGAATATTGAGATTAGAGAACATAATCAATGGTAAAAAACTCTTTGACTCTCTACTCGATTCCTGTGAAATGTATCGATCTTTTTTGCATCAGAACAGTTAAAGTACATTTCCGATTTAAACGAATTTTCATAGTTATAAAGTCTTTGCATCAAATAATCAAAATCACTTTTGATTGTTATTGTACTGTATGTTGTTTTGCCATAAACTCACTTCAACTTTAAGTTTTCATATCTCGATGACAATTTGTTGTATCCACAAGATCAAAAGTGTGTTTTGTTTGTCAATCCTACCTCTATTTGATCCTATAATTACATATGAAGAATACGCAAATACGGTACGTCCAGCTCTAAATGTTTATAAGTATTTTTTCAAAGAAATTTTGAAAAAATTCTAATTTTTACTAAAATGGATAAAATCGAAAATTTTTAATTGGGGATTGATAGTTGAGACTCCAAAGGGTATGTATAAAAATTGGAAGCTCAAAATAATAATTGGTTTTACCATGAGAGAGAATTGAAACAATTGAATTGTGCGAAATCTACCCAGCCGATTTCGATGAAAACATTTCTGAAATATTACGATAGTACTCAGAACCAAACTTTTTATATGGCTGCTCTAAAGTCAAGGTCCAAAATAAATTCATGAAAAAAAACATATTTTTTCACAATTTTTTTTTGTCTATACTGTATTGCAGCAACAATAATGGACTTAAAAATTTCGGACCACTTTTATTTTGAAGAGAATCTCAAAACAAAACTTTTTTTCCTTTGACTATTTTCTCTAATGTCAATATTCTCCGAGTTATACATGAAAGAAGGAAGAAAAATGCGCCTTATTTAATTTTTTATTTTCTTGCGCTAACAATTATGCACAACTTTTTTAGCGGGCGCATATCACAATTATCATTTCACATAATATTTAGAACTATTTCCAACAAACATTAGCGTTACTATATGAAACATACATATAACCTACTTTTAAAACAGATACCGACTGGACTAATATTAACACTTTAATTTTCATGAGAATCTATTCTAAAAATTTAAAAACGAAGCTCATAATTTTCTATAAATTATATGGTACCGCAAGTAAGAAATATTTGTAATCAACCCACATGTTTTCACTTTTAGTTGTCATGTGCAAATTACTCCTTCATATCTTACAATCTTTCCGAAGTTTCTTGCTTGACAACATGCCCAGGTGGTAGGGCCGATGAACCTACAGATCTTCTGCATCAGAAGTTAAGAAAATTATTACAGGATGTTGAAATTCAAACAAAGTAAGTTCTAGGTACGATTTTAATACGTTCTTGAATTGTAAAAGTTTTTATTCTTGCAAAAGTCGCTGTTTCTTTAATATAAAAACAGTTTGTATTGTGAAATACTTGAGAATTTATATTTGGAGAATAAAATGAGCATAAATGCGAAATTGTTATAAATTTAAGAAACACAAGATATTTTTTGAAAATCATGAAAATATATTCTCAATAAAATACTGAATATTCTCCAATTTCCAAAAAAAGCTTTTAATAATATTTAAAAATTCTCAAGCACACATTGCGAACGTTCTCACCTTTACAACACTACAAAATAAAACGTGATGTGTTCATTAGGGCTCATATGAAAGAGAAGTTCCTCAGCGACCTTAAAAAACTGAAGGAGCAAAAGAACGGGGAAGAACTGAAAGAGGCCTTGCACCTCATAAGGAAACGTTTGGATGACCCGAACGTCCTCTCCGGAGACATTATAATCAATATGCTTTTCTGCTTCCGAGATATACAAGAATACAACGCCATGATACAACTAGTTGAAGATCTCAGGCACGTACCCTCTGCCAAAAAGTACCTAAATTCCTACATTATGTACCTGTACGCTTTCGCTTTGAATAGGAGGAAGCAAGAAGGTGACAGAGAGAGAGCTTTAAATGTTTGCATAGACGCCCTAAAAATCGTAAGTAGTTACGTTTATCTTATCTTCTCTTTTAAAAATCGTGTTTTAGAAAGAAAATCACTTCCCCGATATGCTTTGCCTGTGTGGCAGGATATATAAGGATAAGTTTACGGAATCCGACCATCAAGATCAAGTGAGTTTGGATCAGGCAATCTATTGGTATCGGAAGGGATTTGAAGTGAAGCCCAATGAATATGCAGGTAATAACATTTATAGCTCAAATCAATTTCATGTCCAATAAAATCTCAATGGCTTCATGTGTACCCCAAGGTTCTCACTTGGGGCCACTGTTCTTTAATATATAAATTTTTATATATTTCTGCCACCAGATTTATGAAATCTACTTGTTCCTTCCTCTTCTTTAATATTTTTCTAACTAAGGTAGATTTTTACATTTCCTTTTAACTCATTTATAAATCATATTTATTGTTGTTATTAATTGCATGCTGTCTAATTTATAGTAAACTCGATAATAACTATTGGAATAAAGTCTAGTACATGTTATACCGAATAAGAATATACAGGGTGTCAGGAAAGATCATGTCAAAAATGAAGAGGCTTACAGGGCAGGTCAAAATGATTGTAGTACTTAATATAAAAACTTTTCCTATCCGGCTTTGTTGTGGAGTTATTTGCCTTCAATCGATGGATCGGTCGAGGTAGTCCTTTTCCGTGGCCACCTCAGTCTCCTGATCTTAATCCTCTCGATATTTTTCTTTAGAGTCATCTTAAAAGTCTTGTTTATCAAATTCCTGTAAATAGTAAGAAGAGTTATTAAATCGTATAATTACATACGCCGACATCATTAGAAATGATCACCACATGTTATTTTGAATACAGTAGAGGTGTTTGAGCAATTTCAGAAAATGCATTGAAGTTCAAGGTGCACATATTGAACATCTTACTTAACAGTTCTCTTTTTTCTTTTAATAATTTCCATAGAAAACAACATTTTTACAAAAATGTTAATATTGAATTTTTGTTAATAAAATTCCATTTTCTCAAAAACGGTACAAGATATCGTTAAATTTGTAAATGCTGTCAAAGATTATAAATTTAAATGGATAATTTCGTCTGCTCTTATATAATCCAGGCATATTGAATACAGTGGCGGCTCGTGATATTGAGAATAAGTGATGCATCTTTATTCGTTGACGAAAAAGAAAAAAAAAAGCGCCGCAGGAGAAAATTTTTTAATTTTCAAGGTCAAATGGATTTAAATGAATCTAGAAATTTTTAGCTGCATTTACAATATTACCGAAAAACTGACGTTCATGAGAAGGATTTTCATTTAGATTTTATAAAAAATAGAAATATTAGTTCGGCTTGCGAACATTAATGCACACCTATATGTATGTTTCAAAAAAGCTTCGTGACGTTTCCAAAATTGTTAAATCCTTTCTTATTCCACACGCCCGACTTTACAACCACAATTAAACACGGCATACAGAAAAGTTGTTTTAAATAAACACATACTCCGAATACAATGCGTACACTTTGTTTTTTGACTTCCTCCATTTTTCCACATCGAGAGGACACAGGTCTCTCGCAATTTAAAAAATCCTTTTTTGTCATCAATTTTTCACATATAAAATGGCATTTCCAATAAAATACATACATACGAAACATTTCTACAAATTATTGGTGCAAAACAAATATTAATAAAGAACTTTTATAATCGTACACTGGGCGACTTATCGTATACCAGGAGATGGGTGATGACAATGGTGCTTCAATTTCTACATCATTCGTTTCCTCACACCGTAGCTTACTCCGGTGTTGGCCGCCACGTTGCCATGACAACCGCCGTAAACAACGGTACGAAGAAAAGCTGATACAAACTGATTCCAATCTGCGTCACTTACGTATACTATATATGTTGTATGATACGAGGTTGATGTTTATGTTCAACAAAGGCAATGTTTTTTTAGAAGGCGTTCACCGCGCAACTATTCTGTTTATTTCTGCATATAATACAGACAAACACAATACATTTTCAATATAAAATTATACCTAAATTATAAAATTTATATAAAATTAAAAATAATTTTAAATTGCACAACCAAACGGAAATTTTAGGTGAAGTATATAAATTGTTCATTCTGAAATATCTGTAATTTTTATGCTGATTGAAAATTCTCATTTATGCTGGTTTATTGACTTTGACATTAAGTTTCAAGCCTTAAAATTTCCTCCTTGAAATACAAGGATGATCCAAAGTCAAATTGAAAATATTAAATTGAACACCCTGCTTTTTATACCAGCAATCAAATTTTACATTCAAATTTGAGGTTAGAAAATTTTTCCGATATGTTTTTGCAGATCAGTTAGAGGTTAAACTCATTTTTCTCAAAATTGAATTATAGAGGACCCGCAACAACATCCAGGAAAATTTCTGATCGCATATCCGGACATAAAATTTGGTGCTGTCTCAGTAGCTAGCTGAAAAACTAGCATTTTTAATTTAATATTAAGTTGACCTTTTAATTTTATTATTACTGTTGTTTTTAATGTTTGCAACCACTTATTGATGGTAAAAAATAAATAATAATAAATAAATAAATAAAAATGTTCGTGTTTAAGGTATAAATCTAGCCACCTTACTGGTGATCAAAGGCGCCGAAATTGGCAGATCGACCGAACTCCAACACATCGGCTTAGTCCTGAACAACCTGANAAACAGATACCGACTGGACTAATATTAACACTTTAATTTTCATGAGAATCTATTCTAAAAATTTAAAAACGAAGCTCATAATTTTCTATAAATTATATGGTACCGCAAGTAAGAAATATTTGTAATCAACCCACATGTTTTCACTTTTAGTTGTCATGTGCAAATTACTCCTTCATATCTTACAATCTTTCCGAAGTTTCTTGCTTGACAACATGCCCAGGTGGTAGGGCCGATGAACCTACAGATCTTCTGCATCAGAAGTTAAGAAAATTATTACAGGATGTTGAAATTCAAACAAAGTAAGTTCTAGGTACGATTTTAATACGTTCTTGAATTGTAAAAGTTTTTTATTCTCGCAAAAATCGCTGTTTCTTTAATATAAAAACAGTTTGTGTTGTGAAATACTTGAGAATTTATATTTGGAGAATAAAATGAGCATAAATGCGAAATTGTTATAAAATTAAGAACCGCAAGATATTTTTTGAAAATCATGAAAATATATTCTCAATAAAATACTGAATATTCTCCAATTTCCAAAAAAAGCTTTTAATAATATTTAAAATTTCTCAAGCACACATTGCGAACGTTCTCACCTTTACAACACTACAAAATAAAACGTGATGTGTTCATTAGGGCTCATATGAAAGAGAAGTTCCTCAGCGACCTTAAAAAACTGAAGGAGCAAAAGAACGGGGAAGAACTGAAAGAGGCCTTGCACCTCATAAGGAAACGTTTGGATGACCCGAACGTCCTCTCCGGAGACATTATAATCAATATGCTTTTCTGCTTCCGAGATATACAAGAGTACAACGCCATGATACAACTAGTTGAAGATCTCAGGCACGTACCCTCTGCCAAAAAGTACCTAAATTCCTACATTATGTACCTGTACGCTTTCGCTTTGAATAGGAGGAAGCAAGAAGGTGACAGAGAGAGAGCTTTAAATGTTTGCATAGACGCCCTAAAAATCGTAAGTAGTTACGTTTATCTTATCTTCTCTTTTAAAAATCGTGTTTTAGAAAGAAAATCACTTCCCCGATATGCTTTGCCTGTGTGGCAGGATATATAAGGATAAGTTTACGGAATCCGACCATCAAGATCAAGTGAGTTTGGATCAGGCAATATATTGGTATCGGAAAGGATTTGAAGTGAAGCCCAATGAATATGCAGGTAATACAAATGTAAATCTCAATGGTTTCATGTGTGCCCCAAGGTACTAACTTATGGCCACTATTCTTTAATAAATGATGAAGTTAATGTGGCAGAAATGATATAGATCCTCGTCCGTCGGGATGTCATGCCATTCTTTAAGGGCAAAAGCAAGGTTGAAACAGATATACTAACAAGATTGAATTATGAATTCATGTTTTAGGTATAAATCTAGCCACCTTACTAGTGATCAAAGGCGCCGAAATTGGCAGATCTACGGAACTCCAACACATCGGCTTAGTCCTGAACAACCTGATAGGCAAGAAGGGCAGTTTGGCCTCCCTCCAGGACTACTGGGATGTGGCGACTTTCTTCGAGATATCCGTGCTCTTCCAGCATTACGGCAACGCGACCCAAGCCGCAGCCTGTATGTTCAAACTGAAACCTCCGAACTGGTACCTGAAATCCACCGTTGGCAATATACAATTAATTGATAAGTTCCGTAAGAAATCCGACGATATCGCCAGCGCCGACGAGCAGATATTCCATTTTTGGATGGAGTTCTTCATAGAAGCCACGAAGTCAGTCCAGGAGGAGGAGTTCAGGTTTCCTGCACTGATTTTGGAGTCCAACAAGGAGTTAATGCCCAGTTATGTTTGTATTAATCTCGGCGCTGAACCACAGACTTTACAGGTAAACGCTCGATGCAATTATTTGTGCAAGGACTCGTTTACGCATGCTGATCTTTATAAAACTCGAAATCTGAGGAATAATCGTTTCTTTCTCTTTTCTCTAGGTCACAAACTTGTGCGAAAAGAGTTTGAAGGGCGAATGCACTCAAATTCACGACTGGGAGTTCACAGCCAACCAGATCCGTAACGTTAGTTTTTACAAGAGGGACGAGAGATGCCTTTTTCTGTACGTCCACCACAACTCTGACGACTTCCAAATATTTTTTCCGTCGGAATATTGTCGGTAAGTCCCAATTTCTTTTTCGTTGCCCTCAGAGGAGCTTAATTTAATTATTTCGGCCGCTATAACAGGATTAAATGCGCTTTTAAATAATTGGGTATGCGTTTGTTGTACGTGTTTGTGTATAGTTCTCCGCATTACTTTCTAATTTAAATCAGGTTATAAATTTTGAGGTTAGGTGGAGGAGATAACCTTCAATTAATGGTGTAGTACTGAGGGCCGATGCATTTTGACAACTGTTCTGTAATAAAAAAAGGAATTGTCTTCCTACTATGTAACTCTAAATTATTGAAATAGTAAAAATTCAAGGTGTTTTTGAAGTTAGAGTTTTCCTTTCAACATAGACATACAAAAGTAAGAACATTTTTCAAAAAAACATACAATGAAAATAAAAAATTAAACTTTTGATTTAAATAAATTCGAGCACTATCGAAATTCGGTGAAATTCGCATCGTGTAAGTACATTTTGCCATAAAAGCGCTTCATGAAACTTTTTTCTTCGCTTTCGGTCAAAATTTTTAGGAGCTACGGTTATCATGCAAATGTAAGAAATAGCGTGACGAAAAAATTTTGCAATTTTTTTTTTTTAGGATTTTCTGAGTCCACGGACATTTTTTTTTCAGCTAAGCCTTTGCATGGACCAGATAACTTGTTTATTCAGCTCAGTTTCCTTTCCTTAAATTTCGATACGATCATTTTTCATCGAAATATCGGACTTTTAATGGAAAAGGATCCTTTTTTCTTCAGTCATCGATATCGGTGACAAATCGTCGTACAGAGAATTGAAAGGCAGTTTCGAAAACTGAAATAAATTTCCTATAAAATGCTGCCGCAATTTTTCGGAAAAAAATTGTTTTTCAATTTTTTACACGAATTTAAAAATACAGGAAAAAGGGGTAATTTATGGTTTTTTGGAAAATTGACGGCTAAATTAAATCGCAAACTGACTAATGTTAAGCATGACTTTTACAGTTCAGTATACCCAGAAGAACCCTGTGAAGTTTCATCTCATCTAGTGAACCGTTTCTTTGTTTCAAACATTCAAACTTTTGATAAAAATTAAAGGGTCACATTTTTTAAGCTCAAACACTTCACAATCATAATTAAAATGGAAAAAAAAATTTTTTTTTTTTTTTTTTCTCGTTTTTTTGCAGCTGATGTTTTTTTTGTTGATGAAAAAAAAATTCCAAACATTTTTTGAAGTTTTTTTTTTTTGGAAAATCTTCTGGACATTGAAGAAAACAAAATCCAATTGTTTCCAACACGATTCGGCTTTTCCGTCCTATGCTTCTGTTCATCAACTTTTAATTAAATTAAAATTAAAGTTGACACAAATCAGATTTCGACACCGATTCATACCGTTTTTTGAGACCAATTTCTAATTAATTTTTGTGCAGTCTGTAGTCGCTTAAAGAACAGTTTTTTTCAAAACTATCCTTTTTTTGAGGTTTTTTACATTTTTACCGCAAATAGCGTTTGTATTGATGAAAAAAAAAAATAATAAAAAATTCGAAAATTTTTCCAAATTTTTGAAGTTTTTTAGTTTTTTTTTGGAAAACCTTCTGTACATTGAAGAAAACAAAATCCAATTGTTTCTAACACGATTCGGCTTTTCCGTCCTATGCTTCTGTTCATCAACTTTTAATTAAATTAAAATTAAAGTTGACACAAACCAGAATTTGACCCTGATTCATACCGTTTTTTGAGACAAATTTCTAATTTTTGTGCAGTTTGTAATCACTTAAAAAACAGTTTTTTTTCAAAACTACCCATTTTCTTTGAAAAAATTTCAAACATTTTTTTTTCATCAATTTAAAATATTTAAACGTTATTTGCAGTAAAAATGTGAGAAAATCTCAAAAAAATTTTTTTTTTTACATTTTAATCATGATTATGAAGAAAAAATTTTTTTTTTTACATTTTAATCATGATTATGAAGTGTTTAACTTCAAAAAAGTGACCCTTTAATTTTTTTTCAAAAGTTTGACTGTTTGAAACAAAGAAACGGTTCGCTAGATCGAGATTGTCATGCTTAACATTAGTCATTTCGTGAATATTTCAAATTTAGCCGTCAATTTTTTAAAAAACTATAAATTACCCTGTTCCTCTTGTTTAAAAATTTGTGTAATAGATCAAAAAAAATTTTTTTCCGAAAAGTGTTAGCAGCATGTTATAGGAAATTTATTCCAGTTTTCGAAACTGCCCTTCAATTCTCTGCACGAAGATATCGATGATTGAAGACAAAAGGATTAAAAATCCGATATTTCGATGAGAAATTGTCGTATTAAAGTTGAAAAAATTTGAAACACTTTTTTGTCACGCTATTAGAATTGCATGATAATCGTAGCTCCTAAAAAATTTCGACTGAAAGATCTAAAAACTAGAATCTTAGAGCTTCAAAATGCTTTTTTTAATTCCCGATACGACCATTTTTCACCTAAATACAGTCTGTAAAAGATCACGGAAAAATTTTTCTACATTTAATTTTTTGCATTAGTTTATATCTAGTACTACATGTTAAAGATCCAACATGTCCACTACCATTTTTCTATAACTATCGTATTTCTCGAGTTTTTCGAACAAAATAATATACCACTCTGCAAGTTACAGGATAAAATTGTAAAGGAAAACACTACAGACAATCGCGACGCTATGTCAGCATTTTAGAGACCCTCTGCTTATACCTGTACCTCAAATAGTTCATCTCTACTGTAAATATGGGCCATTTTGAATACCGAAATCACACACGGTATTGTTTAAAACCCAAATAACAACTACTTACATGAAATGTCACATCGTACAATCATGATGTACCAGTTTAAGACAAAAAGAAAACACAATTACTCTACCGTGATGACAGATTTCTAAATTTTTTCCTGGACTTTGAGCTATTCGTATAAAAATTGAATTATTAATATTTTTCACATTGATTATACATTTATTACTGCACATTCTAGACGGTCATACTTCCGTAAAATCTCTGTTACAGTTGTACATAACGTTAACAAGGCTGATGAGGATAAAACACATACAGTCCGTACAATATTTGTTGAGATAGAATTCTAAGAAAAGAATAAGCCAATAAAGTTCTATTATTGGAACGACTGGAACAATTTACCACAGTAGGGGCGTGCCTTCTGCGTTATTTACAGAACATTAAATTATATGCAGGGTGTAACTTTGGGTGGGGGTTATATTTATACAGAGGCTTCCTTTGACCTTTAGACACATACCAAAAGTTTATTTTTTAAAATTCCGTTGTAAAAGCTGTTTTTTTTTTCTTTTTTTAGCCTTAAATAATGACGCGCTTTAGTCGCAGCGCATGCACAATTTCACACCACTCGCTGCGAGTTACTTTTGTTGAATAGGTGTTTGCTATACAAAATACTTAACAAGAAACCGTAGCAAAAAACTCGAGCAGTAATCATTAATGATAAATGAAATACACAAAAATACACAGTTAAATGTACTGTCTCCAAATGCGGAACAATAACTGATCCTCTTCGCTTCGTGATATGCACTATCTCTCTTCACTTGCACTGTAGGTTTCCTACAATTCATGTATTTGTAATACATGAATATTACAGTGGCAGCGTTCACAAGTATTAAAGTGCATTTAAAAAACTAAGTATAACTCGATTATTTTTTTAATTTAAAAAAAATTGAACTTCAGATTCGTATTAAGGGAAACACGTACTATTACCCCTAAAAAGCTGACCCCCACTTAATAACACAACCTGTATAAGGTAAATATATATAAAGCAGATTTTCTGGCCAAAAATGTGTTATGATTTCTTTTGATTTATTTTAATCAGAAATTACACTGAAAATGCTCAGCACAATACACTTACGAAGAAACACGCATTCCTAATTGCAAAACACAGTAAGAACTGCTAGCTGCTACGGTGAACGCCACACCGCCAATGTCTTTTATCTTGGGTGTCAAATGCGGTTAATTCCAAGAAAGTGATGCAAGGGTCTTCTTAGAATTTTATCTCAACAAATATCATATGGACTGTAACTAAGTACATTGAATGTAAACAAGCGTTATATTGATATTTTTTACAGAGAATGTTTCTACAAATTAATTCTTGAACTGACCAACTACCAAGAAGGTCTCGTGGAGTCCGAGCCACCCAGAGACATAAAATACGAGTACGAGAGGGACGAACAGGGTAAAAAAATCATACTAGGAAAGGGCACCTACGGAGTGGTCTTCGCAGCTAGGGATCTCAACACTCAAGTCCGCATAGCAGTCAAGGAAGTACCTGAAAAGAATCTGGGTGCAGTGCAACCCTTACACGAAGAGATCCGTCTACACTCTCAGCTGCGGCACCGGAACATCGTGCAGTACCTGGGCTCGTTATCCGAAGACAACTACTTCAAGATTTTCATGGAACAGGTTCCCGGAGGATCTTTGAGTGCGTTGTTGAGATCGAAATGGGGGCCTTTGAAATCCAACGAGCACACGATGGCTTACTACACGAAGCAGATCCTGGAGGGGCTGAAATATCTACACGATCAGAAAATAGTACATCGCGATATTAAAGGTTTGAGCTTGAATCGCCGTTATCGACATAAATCCTAAAAATAATTTCTCCTTTGCAGGTGATAACGTTTTAGTTAACACTTACAGCGGCGTCGTTAAGATTTCTGACTTTGGAACCTCGAAGAGACTGGCGGGCCTCTGCCCCAGCACGGAGACCTTCACGGGAACCCTCCAGTATATGGCGCCGGAAGTCATCGACAAAGGACAGAGGGGGTACGGCGCCCCAGCCGATATCTGGTCTCTGGGGTGCACGGTAGTAGAGATGGCGACGGGCAAGCCGCCTTTCATAGAACTGGGATCCCCACAGGCGGCGGTTTTCAAAGTGGGGTATTACAAAATTCACCCGGAAGTACCTGAAGAGCTCTCCGATCGGGCTCGATATTTCATCAAGCGCTGCTTTGAACCTGACCCCACCAAGAGGGCCACGGCGGCTCATTTGCTGGAGGATCCGTTTTTGGGTGAGTGGAAATCTGTTGTTTGGGGATTTTTTCAAATTTCCGTTGTAATTGATCTTTAAATTTTCTTGTTTTGTTTTTTTTTTATTTCTTTCTGCTGGACAAATTTCAATTTCACTGCACAATAGGGATTTTAGACACTATCAGTAGTGCAAAATTTAATAATCAACGAACAAAGATTTATTTAGATTTTATTTAGAAAAAATAAAAATCCGTCTTTTTAAAGATCAGCTGTAATTGTGTTTCTTGCAGTCCAATTGAAAAAAAATTGTGAATCTTTTTTTAAATATATCTTTTTATAAAATTCATACGAAAGAAAATAAGTTATTTTCTCTAGAATCTATTTCAGTCGAAGTACAAAACGAAGTAGTTTGGGATTTATCAATTAAATTGAGTAATATTCCCAAAATACAAATAAATAAATTAAGCGGATCACCTGGAGGCGATTCTTGTAGAGTCATTCCGGCCGGCTTCTTCCCTAAATTTGTCATAATCAAAAGGAGCGATTTTTATCTTTCTGAACGTAGTTTCAAGCGTAATGCGTTTCATTCACTTCAATGCGGCTCTATTCCAAAAATGTTTTTTTTTTCGCACAAGAACGTGCAATGATAAAAGACAAAAGCAAAATTCTCCATTACTTTGGCCATATCTAACCTTTTTGACATCTTTTATAATTCCTGAGATCCCTGTCATGGTAATCAGATTTGGTACACCCTGTATACAGGGTGGGTTGGGAGGAGCACTCCAAACTTGGTAAATGTAATCTATGCATAAAAAAAAGTTACATTTTTTTTTTCTTTTTCTTTTATACATGATAATTGAACCATTAATAACAATCACTAGATCCGAAGGAAAATACCCCTAAATGAGCATAAAACCACCCCTAAATTCAACCATATACATATAAAACAAAAAGAAAAAAATTGTAACATTTATTGTATTTTTTGCATTTTTAGGCATTTAGGGGATGATTTCACCCCTTTAGGGATATTATGGGTTGATTTTCAATCGGGACAAGACCGTATCAAATACGAAATTAGATATTTTCACGTTCATAATCTTATTTTGATAACATAGAAATATTTGGGGTTTTACAATTGTTGATGATTCTTAACTTGTTCACTTTTTTTGTCTTTTCAACCCCTAAATAAGGGTGATTTTTGAAAATGTTCGAAAAACTTGACGAGTATTTGGATATTTTTAGAATATTTTTAGGATTTTCCCTATCGCCTCTGTCAAAGCCTCAAAAACAGGCGGAAAAATGGATTTTTTTGCGGTCACTCTCCATTTTTAATTTATAAGAAAGGATCATTATTTTAACCGGCCAAAATTAAAAATTATTTTTAAATGTTTACCAAATTCTTATAACTTTGTTTGAAAGTAATAAACATAATGAAAATAATGAACTTCAAACTAATAACAATTTGGAAATGATTTTCTTTTCGATTAGCGATATTGAGTTCTTGTAGGGAAAAATGAAACAGAGTAAAACAGTAATGACAAATAAATAACATTTGCTGATTTTATGTCGAATTATTAAAAGGGCTCTATAGTAAATAGGCAACCAGCAATACATTTTTATAGATTTTATTACACAGTTTGTCTAAATATGAATTAATGCACAAATAACAGACTTTCCCCCATTTTAATGCAAATTTTCTATAAAATGGACTTGGTTTAAAACTCAAATTATTTTTTGGTATAAATAAATTTGTAATTTACGATGCCAAAAGCGACAAATAACAAATTTCTTTACAACAAAAAGTAATTTGGAGTTTCAAACCAAGTCCATTTTATAGAAAATCTGCGTTAAAATGGAGGAAAGTCTGTTATTTGTGCATTAATTCATATTTAAACAAACTGTGTAATAAAATCTATAAAAATGTATTGATTAATTAACCGTAAAATATTGCTGAATATTTGCATATTGTGCAAAAGAAAATATTATTTCTTTTATTTCAGCTGATGTAAGTAATTTTCTCTTAAATCAAAAATTTTATTGTCCAGATTGCCTTTATTCAGACAAGCAAAAATTACTGGATGAAACAATTTTTTCCAAAATCATATATAAAAATATTCTGTATTTGGTGCAAATTTTTTGGTGGCTGCTATATAATTTTTGAAATAATCATCCTTTGTTAAATATTTACTTAGGAGGTACTGAGGTAAATCTTATATTTTATCAAACTGGAAAATATTTTAAACCAATCTGAAAGACCTGAAAAAAAATTGAAACATCAAGGAATTTTTTAGTCAAAAATTTTTAATTTCTTAAGATGTCGTGTTGTGCTGATTTTTGAACAATTGAAAGTATTTTATGAATTTACTGCCCAAGAAAATAATTTTGTTTCTTTATAATCTTACAAGCTATTAAACCACCTCTAAAGGAAAAATGTGCAATCGTGATTTCAGAAAATGTAGGTAAGAAGAAGAACCAGCTAATGCAAAATTACCTTTTCGCCATTATAAAATTATTTAAATCTTGCATGAGTAATGCGGTAGTTTCTCGTTTGTGCTTTGAATTTTTTTCTTCATAGATCTTGAATTCGAAGAAACGTAAACGAGTTGTGTGAGTAGTCGTTGTTTTTTGCATTTTATATGTTTATTATTTAGTGTAAATTCTTATACACAGTGATCCTTAAGTACTTCGCGATAAAAAAGAGTGATTTTTCAAATTATAAAAAATATCCTGTGAATATTATGTCCTGAACAGCAAAAAGTTTTTATAAAACGTGACATCTAGCAAATTTCTAGAAAGCTGTGATGGTTTGCAAAAATTGAAATGGTCATATTTTTTTGAAGATCATTTCTAGGCCTGCTTCATTGGAGCTTTCGTAACGAAAAAATTTGGAACGAAAGTAGCAGAATGTAAATTGAAAATAAACCTAAAATCTCAAAAAAGGTTGCAGCATTAGCAAAATGTTTCTCCCTTATTTCCAAGTTGTGTACCCCAGGGCTTTGGGGACATGCTACATTAGTAAGTCTTTTTAAGTAGACAAAGACTCGGCTAAATCGGTGACCCGCAGAGTCACTAAACTATTTAAGATTTCCATAAAGTCGTGTGCATTATTGAAGAACTTAAGGACCACCCTGTATAATATGAACTGTATTCGCTTTCCGGCAGTTTTAGATTTTCATGTTTATTATATAAATATATAAACTGTTTATCATTCCAGTAAACCACAACTATCTAGAACATAGAACTTTTATTGTTGATAAACATAGAAAGAACCACAACTTTATCATGAAATCCTTCAGAGTACACAATAGTATGTTTACGAGAAAATTTTTCACATATTTTCTTTATTTATATAAATTTAGTTTTTAATGGAATTGGAACATTTATCTTTTATTGGAATTGGAGCATTTAGAATATAGTCATTATTTCAAGATTCATTAAAATAAAAAAAAAGGAGAGAAAAGAATTTGATACAGTAGTGCAAATTTCAATAAATCCAACTGTGTTAACTAAAGAATAAGGTCAAAGGATTAAGAAAGAATTTGATGAAATACAAGTCCTTAGTAATTTCCAAAAAAAATTCCATCTAAAAAGTGAAAAATTTAGGAACATAAAAACAACAGTTTTGAAAATCAAGATATTGTACCAAAAAAGTATTTGATATATTCTCAATGTAAATCACCTTTTTATTAGCATATTCTACTTTGGTATTTTCTACGTACATCATCTGCTTACCAAGTCATAAAAACGTTCTCATAAATAATATTTATTACTAAAAAAATTCAAAGTAAATATTTTACTTAGATACCCTTGGTAACAAAATTATGAATAATAATTCAGAAATTATTAAAATGGATATTATTTTGTATTTATCAGCGTTTTTTCCTAAAATTCATGTCACTATTGGTGAAAATATTTCTAGGACCTGACAGAAAAAAGAACGTTCGCCTAAACACCGAATTTAACCGTAGTGTCTCTGTGCCCGTAGACAAAATAACACCGAGGCACCCCGGGCACTCCAGTGCCCCGAACCAGACACCAACAACCCCAGAATCAGAGTAAGTCCATCTGTTTTCTATTATCATGCATGCTCCATTTTTTATCATCCTGTACAGGAAGTTGGCAAAAAACCATTATAACCTCAAATAACAGTTAGTATGTTGTCAGGTCTCTGTGATGTACTGGTGCAAAAATGATTGTTCCAAATTTCCTTATTTTTGAGGATTGGTATTTTAAGTACATTGGCAAGTGGTAATGTCACCATTTATTTTATTTTATTTTATTGTTTTGTTCAGTTTTGTATAATTTAACTTTTTTTTTTGAGAATTTAACATGTTTTTTACTGTCTTGTGGAAAGTTCAGCTGTATACAGGGTGTGAAGTTTAAGCTTTAAATGCAATCAATAATAAAAAGTGAATCAACACAATTTTTTAAAAGTTTTTTTTTTAATTATAACAAAATTGTTTTTCTTTTTATCTTCGATTGAACTGTTTTTGATTTTGAGTTTAATTAAAATTAATTTTTCCAAAAAATATGCACCTATTGATTTTTCTTGTTATGTCCTACCTTAAAATATAGAAGTTATACAGGGTGTTCCGAAATTAATGTAACAAAATTATGTCACAGATTCTTAAGACAAATTTAGGGGACCCGTTTTTTTATTTTTGCCAAATGGCCCCCTTTTTCGGAGCTACAGCCCCCTGAAATCCGCCCCTAAGAATAATCCTTTTTTTTATATCTCAGAACCCTGTTGTACGAGAATCACTAAATTTGGTACACAGGGATTTTATGACATGTGGAATCTGATGGTGCTACGTTTTTTGGCGGGGAACCCCCTTAAGACAATTTTCGTGAGCCCCTTATATTTGGAGCCAAAAAAATTTGGTCGCATATTTAAATTTCTTAAAAATTATTAGTCCGGTAGAAGACCATTAAATTTAGAAACTTTTTTGTCTCTTGATACTTTTTCGTAACACACTATATTTTCGAGAAAAATGTCAAAATGAGATCGAATGCGTATCGTGATTCGCCATTTTTCTGAAAAACATTGCGTTTTATGAAAAAAATATCGAGAAAAAAGTTTCTAAATTCAATGGCTTTCTAACTAACCAATAATTTTAAAAAGGTTGAAATTTGTGACCAAATCTATTTAGTTCCAAAGACAAGGGGAAAAGTGTCTTAAGGAAGGTTCCTCTCTAAAAAGCGTAGCACTATCAGATTCCACATGTCATAAAACCAAATTAGTCATTCTCGTACAACAGGGTTCTGAGATATAAAAAAGACTATTCTTAGGCGCAGATTTCAGGGGGCTGTAACTCCGAAAAAGGGGGCCATTTGGCAAAAGAAAAAATATGTGTCCCCTAAATTTGTCTTAAGAGTCTATGATCAAATTTTGTTGCATTAATTCCGGGACACTCTGTACAGAAAAAATATACAGGGTGTATAGAAACAATGAGTAAACAATTTTGGAAGCGATACCACTCATGAAAATATTTATTAATATTACAAGTTCCTGTGACATTTTTTTGAAAACTCATTGTTACAAAGAGTTACATCACCTCGAAGGTATTTTTTTTAATTAATATTTTGCTGTAACTTTTTCTTCATTAAAGCTATATTTTTCAAAATTGGTACACTTTTTATAGGTAACAAACTGCAACTATGAAAAAATGATAAGTAGGGAAAATTAATAGTAACTTTTTTGCTATTTTTTTATAAAAATTATTAGCAACAATATTTTAATTATTTCTGAGAAAAAAATACATTGAGCGTTTTGGACAAAATTTACAGTTTTATAGTGATCTTTGATAATAAGTTGTGTAATTATTAGTTAAAAAATGTGCTTAATAAGAACCATTTCAATTCTTTAATAAAATAGAACTTAATAAAATACAACATGCACTATAGAAATTTTATTTCGATTGCAGTAAAAACTAATACTTCAGAAAGTCGCGAAATTAGCAATCATCTTGTAACACTAATAAACTGAAAATTAAAATGTAATAAAATTAATCAGTGACATATTTGGCATTCTGGTTTTGCCAAATTGACATTGGACATTTGTTTTTTGCCAGCATACAACCCTATAGACATATATTCAACTCAGCTGTATTGATATTATGTAGTCCACCTAAATTAGGTCAATGTCAAAGATCTTCGACACTGAGATTCACAAACTAAACACAGTGCTCCAAAAAAAATTGTACAAATACTTTTTAACTGGCAGTGATGTTAAAAAGTATTTTAATTTAGTATCTTTACTTATTTTTTATTTTGCACATTTTATAAAACTGCAAATATAATCATTTTAAAAGAAAAATTTAATAAACATGCAAAAAATATTTAAAAAAATTTTTGAGACGTGGGGAACATGTAAAACTAAAAAACCAACCTACTTAAACCTACATCCCGCATAGTTACATTTATTTAAAAAATATATATCAGGAACTTGTGCCATTGTTTTCAGTAAATTTTTTGCTCGTAGTTTTCGATCCGCCTGTATATCCCTTTCGAAAATGCAATAAGTGAAAATTCGAGTAATGCTGCATATATTCGTTAAGTCAGCATGACAGTGTAAACAAACCGAGAGATGAACACCCTGTATGTGTGTCGCTTGTGGTCGTAATTATGATTAACTTCCAGTTCACAAAGTCGAGGAGCCCTACTGCCACCTATCCAAATGCCAACTGCTCTGACTTTCAACAGGTAATACTAATAAATGTTGCTCGTCTGTCGACAGCTACGTTTCCTATTATTTAACATTTTGCATGTGCTTCAGTTAGCGTACAATTTAACATCACATGGGATAATTCTGCCACATATTTCATTCGCATTTAGTTTACTTTTAATTACTAACAACCTCAAAGTCTTTTAGTAAATGTAGAAATGTTAGATTATAGATTTTTGTAGTCGTAGTTTCTAACTGCATATTTTGGTATATCTTTACCTTTATACGAGGTTTGATCAAAAAGTAACGGGAATTGTTAATTTTCTCAAGAGCGTATCTATTTACTTCAATTTTTATCCCAACGTAGTTTCCAGTTTGAGAAACTGGTTAAACGCCACTTTTGGTATCGTCTTGAGCACGATTTGTGATTTGGCCTTAATCTCATTTATTGTTGAAAATTGTTGCACTTTGAGTATTCTTTTGAGGAAATAGGAGTCATTTCTGGAGAATAGGGTGGTTGCCGCATCACAACGGTATAACATTTCGCCAAGAACTGTTGAATAAGCAAAGTGGTATGCGCCAGTGCTTTGTCCTGATGCAAAATTTACAAGTTGTCTCTCGCGTTCTTGTCGTTTTCTCCTTAATGCTGCAAGAAAATTGGGCAAAACTTCTAGGTATTATTTCTTATTAACTGTACGACGAGGCAGTAAAATCTCGCGATGAACAATTCCATGTTGTCGAAAAAAACGGTAGGAAGATCCTTCACACTTGACCAGATCTCTCCTCATCTTCGATGTCTACTTAGCCTTCCTTAAAACATTTGTACCATTATTAACTCATGGCTGTGACATAGTATCATGCCAAAGACCTCTCTTTAACATTTTGAGTGCTTCGTTACACTTAATTCCATTTTTAACACAAAATATCAGAGAACTTTCTGATCTGACGTTTCGCCACAAATAAAATCGACAAAAGCACTAAGGTAAGTTTTACTCATTCGCTCGCTAAACACAAACTAAGTGTGGCAGCTGCGTAAAAATTGGCAGGTACGTAACAAAAGAATCAATTTGATAGGACCAGATACAACACGCGCAATTTGAAAATTCCCGTTACTTTTTGATCAAACCTCGTATATTATAAGAAATTGTGCTAAAAATAACAAATTTAGTAAAACTATTGTTTTATATATAAAATATTCAAAAAAAAAATAACTTTTTATGACAAAAACTAACTTAATTTTGCAAAACATTTAAAAATTATTTTCCAATTTCATAGATGTACTGAAATCATCGAATTATATGGGTTTCAAAATTATGTGATTTTGTATTTGGAGGTACAAGGAATTTTAAATTTAGAATAAATGAAATGAAAACGTTGTGTAACTATTTATGTCCTATTTAAAAATTGATACTACATAGAAGAAGGTGTTTACCGAACCACCTGATTTATAAATAGATTTTTTTCCAACAAACCGATATATTCCTGTAAACATGATGAACTGACAATGAGTTAGTTAACAACAGACTTCTCTGCCACTGAAACTTGGCAATAAAAGTCCTGGCATATTTTTATCTTAACAAAGGTACCTCCATAGAAAGTAAGTGAAAAATCATTACACAATGTACATGCTCGATTGCAGTTTTCCTGTAATAAAGAATTTGAATTCTACTTGGTATTGTGAAGTAAACAATCCTTCAAGGTATTTTTAAAATTGTTTGGGTTGCATATGTGATAGATTTTGTGATACTTTGTGTTACAAAACATACGCATAAGTTGTTTACAAATTTGTATACAGAGTGTTTCATTATCAACTGCAAGGACAGTGAGACAACTTAAGCAAGTATAGAATGACCACTTAGAAAAGTTATGGGTCGAAATTTATGTATATACAAGGTCACTAAAATTTGTTATGAAAAATTTCCAGGGCCGTTTTGGGGAAATCCCCATTTTTTGTGAACATTCAGAATCTTTGTCTTGTATCTAAGATACCGAGTACCTTTTTTATAGAAATATAATTTCCTATAAAAATGTCGAAACCGTTCAAATCACATTGATCGTACTAATTTAAAAAGTGTGTTACCAGAGTTTGATTGTTAATTAAAAAATTATTGGAAATATGACGAAAAAATTAAATGTTTTTGGCAGTGGTTAACTTTTTTAAGCGGTCATTCCACATGCACTTACAATATGTAGTTTGTCATGAAATGCACTGTATAAAAACTATAAATAGGCAAAAATAATAAAGTTTTTCCAATTATGTACAAAGTGTAAAGAATTTTTTGATTTTAAACAACGCCTGAAACTTATCTTTCCACCTTTATTGACGTTCGAAAAATATTATTAACGTTTCCATCTTGCAGTCTAGCCTCTACGCCCTCATTGGACTGCGATTCGGAACATGGCAACACGGAACGCCGGAACTCATCCGGCACCCTCCTCTCCCCAGAGGTGGACGTCACGACAGAAACCGACGGTTTCTACCTCCTCAAAAAAGACTCCCAGCGGCGAACGACTCTCGCCAAAGTACTCGCTAATGACGGAACAAAGATATGCGACGTCTGGATGCAGAAAGTCAGGGATAAGTATCTCGGCGAGACGGTACTCACCGAGAAGCACCTCCTTAGGCTTATGGACGGGCTGAAGTCGTATTTGACGGAACAGTCGTTGAGTGTCGTGGAGAGCACCATGAGGCGGCTGAAGGAAGAGCTAGACTTTGACTCGGCAGCCATCAATCAGTTGCAGTTCGCCATATATTTGTACCAGGTAAGATTATTTCAAGGAAGTTACCCGAGTCCCGATTATCGGCAGCTTCACGTTAACCGATTTGAAAATAACTCCACTTTATTCAAAAATTCGTGTGATCCAAGTTTACGGTTGTCTGAGGTACCAGCGCTCTGCATTAACCCGTATAATCGAGATGTAGATGCAGTGTATTTAGTGTTATATCCTCATTTTTATAGGAATCCGTCAACGAGGTCCTGCGTTTGCACCCCATAAAGCCCCACTGGATGTTCGCGTTGGACAATTTGGTGCGATCCTGCGTTCAAGCGGCGATTACAGTGTTATCGCCCGAATTGGGCGAGCACATAGGAAATCACAGTTCGCCCAGCACGGTCAATTCCAGCAAGTCGGGCAAAACAAACGAGAGCTACGAGGTGAGAGACCAGGTCCTGCAACTCCGTTCGGAGAATTCCAGACTGTGGCAGGAATTGCTGGATATGCAGAAGCAATATCAAGCTGTGGTAAGTGTTGACGTTCGAGAGAGTACATATTTTATTGTCAAAAAATGTGTTTTAATTTGTGTGTACCAGCGGTTCCCAAAGTGTGAATCACGACCTCCTAAAGGGGTTTTATTTATTTTGCACAGTTTTATTTTGATAACAGTCAAAGTCGAAATCGTTTCGTACAAATATAAAATTGCAAATAGTTTCAAAATTTTAAAAGCGTCTTATTTTAGCTCGGGATAATCTTCATCGTCATTTGTCATGAATGTCATTTCTACGATTTCAGTTGAAGCTGCTGATAGAGGAGCACCGGCAACAAACCGAGTCCCTGAAACAGATCTGCTGTTGCAACCGTCAACAAAAAGAAGTGCTTGAGGAAGATATAAGACTGTCCAACTGGCTGCAAGGCCTCGGCATAAACGAGGTAGCCAAAAAAATGTTTCTTGCCGAGGGCTACACCTTGGAGGAGGTCCTTTACTACATAAGCCGGGAGGACCTTCGCAGGGTGGGCCTTAGGGGTGCCACCGAGTTTCGTATTTGGCGCGCCATCGAGCAACACAGACAGGGTAGCGACGTGATCATATGTAACGGTGTCACGACAGATGAGACCGGCACCGTCTGAAAGATTCGAGTACGGGGTGGTTTGTCAAATAACTGTTGTTGAATTTCATGTAGAATTCAAATTCACTATTAACCTTAAAATGAACCACCCCCTTAATAATTTATAATCGTTATAATTAGACTGTGATTATTTTTTTGTTTCTTTTATCAAAAGTTTTTAATTTTTAAATTATTGTGCAATGACTGTATTTATTTTAGAGGAATATTTATTCCGTTGTTCTACTTTTTTGTATCGAAAAAGTACCGATGGCTTGGATACCGATTTTTATTTAATTTTATCCGAATGATTTTACTTTTAATTTTGTCTTCCAAATTCGCAAACCTCAAAGAACTGATTTACCTGAGAGTAAGAAAAAATGTATTTTTTTTTTTGTTTCACAGATCGTGGAAGTGTTTTATATTTTTTTCTTTTTTGAGATTAACATTTTAACACAACTAAATTAGTTTTAAGGAAAAAGCCTGTAATTGTTATGGCGACGTTTAAAAATTATTTTGCTTAAATTAAGGAAATTATCTTTTCTTTTTAAATGTTTTTCATAATGACGACTGCGGCTTTTTCAATTCAATGTTTCGTGCCTTGCGCGTTAATGCATCACATTAATCAAAACGTTGTGGCCTAGAGATGAATCGTTTTTGAAATTGTTTTCGGTTATAATTTTTGAAGTGGAAATGTATGTTTTCAGTTTTAATACGAATTATATTTAAATACGATGTTATATATTTTGACTAATAAAGGAAGATTAGCAATATACTGTGTTTTTTTTCAAAGTAAAAACCAATATTATCCCATGGGCTTATCATTTTAGGGGTTCCAAAAATTATAAAATATAAATAAGTAGGCATGACGTGGTAAAAAATGAATTATCCCTGAAAATTTATACTTGCCTCGGTATATCCAACAGGTGGGTGGATAGGTGCTTTTTTATTTTACTGATGTATTCAGCAATTCTGAAAAATGAGTTGCTTCACTGATATGATTATAGAAAAAATTTATCAAGGTTTCACATTCGTTCTTTTTGTACATGCATAATGCAATAATGCACTTATATTACACTTCCTCAGCCTTTGGTAAGAATCTTTGACCTGCCCTTGTTGTTCTCGGACTGGACTCTGTGGACCCTTTAGCAAAACCCTCAGTCCTAAACTATCTCACCTAAGAATGCAATCAAGAATGCCAGTTTGTTCTTTTTTCTTATGAGGTGAAGGTAGAAGTGACACCCAGGCCCGCCGTAAGCGGGCGGCAAATCGAGCGATCACATAATATTCAGAGAATTGATATCAGGTTTCGCAACATAAAGGAAAGAAGAGTTAAATTTCCCTAGATAAATATTAGTTAGCATAATAGGCTATTGATTAAGTCATATGGCATGGAACTACGTGTTGATGGGTTTTTATTGCATGAATCGTTCAAATGGTTATTTAGAATGAAAAAACCGCTGAGTGCTGTTAAATTAGAGGGTGAAAATTGGAGATAGGGGTAAAAATGCACCCCTTTCAGTTTTTTAATTGTAGCTCGAAAAGGAAGAAAAATTTCGCTATAGTTCATAGGAAAAATTACTTAGAAAATTGAATTTCCCATTGAAATAGCTTATTTAAAAAATTTAAAAGGAAAATTTTATGCAAAATAATCGTTAATAAACAATGTGAAAAAAAAGCAAATAATTCGATTCTGTACTTTTTTGCCTCTAGTTTTTTTTTGAGTAAAGGTAGGTATAGGCATTGCTTCATAGAAAAAAAAAGTATATAAAATTTCCTTCAAATCAAAAGGTTCTACAATATTTTTGGATGAAAATTGACTGATATATGGCCGCTCAAACTTAGTCAATTTTTCCAATTTCGTCGCGTTTACCCTTATACGTTTTAATTCTTATTTTTTGCAAAAAAGGAAGGAAATAAGACGTTCAAGGATTTTCATCACATAACTTGTTCGAAGGGTCATTAAAAATGAAAAAACCGTGGGGTGCTATTAAATTAGAGTGTTGAAATTGAAGATAGGGGTGAAAAAGCACTTTTGCAGTTTTTTAAATATAGCACGAAAACGAAGCAAAATTTCGGTATAGTTCATAGCAAGAATTGTAGAGAATTGAATTTCTCAGCGAAATGGCTTATTTAAAAAATGTAAAAGGAAAATTTTATGCAAAAAATCGTTAATGAACTATTATATTAAAGAAAGCAAAAAATAAGATTTTTTGATTTAGGACTTTCAGCCATGAATAAATGTAATTGTTATTGTGCAGAATTTGTGTACAATTTATATATTTGTTTAATTTTTACATTTTGAATAAATTTTTGTAATACACGTGTTTCTTTTCATACACGTATACATGTCATCCCTATTATAAGAAGTATAAAAAATACGTTTGCTTCAGTAATAAGTAATATGTAACAAATGTATTTTTTATGCTTATTAAATAAATGAAACTTTAAATTATATAGTGGAAGTATGCAACCCATTTGAAATTGCCTGTTGCCTATCATTTATCCTTATAAATGAGCCTTCTTCTTCTTCTTTTCTCTGTTTTTGCTGTCTAGTCTCCCTGAGCTGTTTTCTTTTACTCATGATTTCGGAATCATAACGCGTTACGATCCGAAATCTAGCAATTTGATTGGTTTCCATTGGATCGTAACACGTTGATTCCGAAATCATGAGTAAAAGAAAAGGGCTTTGGAGTCCCTGGGCGTGGTTATAATTTCGTTGATTTATTTGTGTTTGTTTTGCATTTAGCTTGGTTGTTTAATGTTTAGTTTTGAATTTTGAGCACAGAACATAAATGTAAAGTAAGTGTAAGTAAAATGAGTGAACGAAAAGGACATCATACTGTTTGTGCAGTTAAAAGCTGTTTTAATAAGGGTTACAACTCCAAGAAAAAATTCTTTCGTTTTCCCAAGGAACCAAACCGGTAAGTACTTACCTGTAGTTTTTAAATAGAATTATGTATGTGAAATTGTCATTGCTAATATTTATAAACAGTTTATTATATTGTTTTCCATCGAGGGCAATTATTTAATATAATCGTGGCACCCTCCCAAATCTTCACAAAATTTGGTCTACCCCCCTATTTTCGATGCTGCTGAACACGAATCTGAAGTTATTTTTGTGCGGTCGAACCTAGTTTTCGAGAAAAATTTTTCAAAATTCTAACCTGGATATTTCAGATAACACTGCGTAGAACTCTGTATAGGTATTTTATGTAGCTTTCAGATCATCTGTTATGAACAATTAATACTGTTCACGACACACATTTGCGCAAATTTCAAGTAAAAAAATATGTATTTAATAAATAAAAATTTTGTAGTTTGAATCCACCATTTCTAATTCGTGATGACCATCGAGTTCCCCTACTCTCATTCATCTCTGTTCATCCCACTATAATTTTATTTATTAAATACATACTTTTTTAAGTTCAAATTTGGGAAAATATGTTTCTTAAACAATGTTGATTATTTATTACAGATGTTCTGAAAGTTACATAAAATACACAGAGTTCTACGTAGTGTTATCTGAAATATTCAGGATAGAATTTTGAAAAAAATGTTTCTCGAAAACTGGGTTCGACCACACAAAAAAAACTTCAGATTCGTGTTCAGCACCATCGAAAATAGGGGGGTAGACAAAATTTTGTGAAAACTGGAGAGGGTGTCACTATACTAAATAATTACCCCATCGAGCTACTTTTGTAAACGTCGAAATAAACATTTAACAAAATATAAAGTTTATACTAATAATATACATTTGAGTACTTGTTTATATACTTCAAATTCAAAATTTGATTCAATGACATATTAATTTGACTGTAGTCTCACCTTCACTGAGCAGGCTGTGCCATGCGAAATAATGGTGGTGCCAGAAAATATTAATACGTTATATTACGTAGCATAGCGCACCAGCATTCTCTGGTGGAGCTTCCCAGGTTTTGTTAAGCCAATACGAGATGTTACNAGCAGGCTGTGCCATGCGAAATAATGGTGGTGCCAGAAAATATTAATACGTTATATTACGTAGCGTAGCGCACCAGCATTCTCTGGTGGAGCTTCCCAGGTTTTGTTAAGCCAATACGAGATGTTACTAAATATAATTTTGAATTTAAAGTATAATTAGGTTTATCATAAAGTCCTAGTCCAAACTCATATTAGTTATTTTAATATACTTATTAAGACGCTTATTTTTTAATAAGTATTCAAAATGGAAATAAAATAAATAAAAAGAGATATTGTTTAAAAATATATCTATTAATTTTTTTATCTTATTCACAATAATTATTAATGTAAATAAATAACTTTTACAGGGCTAAGATATGGGCAATGAAAGCCAATCGGGAGGAATTACTGACAAAACTGGATGATCTACATAAAAGTTATATGCTATGCGAAAGTCATTTTGAAGATAGGATGTTCAACAGTTGTCTTCACACACGATTAGTAGCCACTGCATATCCTACCCTATTTCCATCATTTGAATTAAGTTCTAAAGCTGGTATAGATGAACATTCTTATAGTGCACCCTTGCTACTTCCTGGATAACAGAGTTTTGGTTCCAGGTGTTACACAAACTGACTCCGGTATTTACAATATTTATTATTTCCTTATATTATTGTTATGCATTCAAGATGGGCCAACTCAAAAATAAATAATAGTTTGCTCTATGAGAAAGTGTTCATTTTTTTTAACCCATTTGATCCTACCGTCCTTTATAAGGGCCGCTGAATGTAGAGCGCGATAAAATCAAGATCAGCGTTGAAATTCTAGATGTCGCTATTGGTATAGTTTCAATGATTATTAGTGCAACCGCAAACAGGATAAAAGTGATTTGTTTACGTTCTTGCGGCACGTGTCGAATATTTTTGGTACTCTTGCAAAGTGCGAATCGACAATGGATAATTGGAGGTATGTAAATATTGTTTTTTCAATAAGTAATAGTGTTTTTGTAACTTACATCACGAAGCTAAATGTACAAATAGTTATTGAGTATAAAATACTAGTCCGTTTTTATTTATTTTCATGGGCACGTGGTCATAAAAAAGAGGTGTTCTTTTAAAAGGACAGTAGGAAAATCCACTACTGTTCGGTGTAAATGCTAATAAGTATATATTCTTGTTTCTAGTTATTGGAAAAAGCCGTTAACCCTAGCCGAATTAGGCGAAGAATTAGAAAACATCGGTGAATCGGAGATTCCAAATGATATTATAATTTTTCCTCCGGAGAACGCCAATGATCCCGTTACTGATGAGGATTCAGGTGATGAAGATCAGGTTGTAATGGAAAATCTACCTGGATCTCAATTGAGGGTAGAGGTAGAAATCAAAATCCCTGAGGAAAAAGTAGGGACGTCTGTAATATCCGAAGATTCGGATTCTGAGGACGATAGGCCCTTGTCACACTTCGTTTTGCGCAAGCCTAAAATAATGAAAAAGTTCTCGTACAAGACTCAAGATTTGCAGCCCGATTTTCCACCTTGGATTCCAGTTCAGACAGTACGAAACCAGCAATCTCCAGCCACCATTTTCAAGATGTTTTTTGACGATGACGTCATTGATTTGATTCTTCATTATAGCAATAATTACGCACACCAAAAAAATCTACATGATGATATATCAAAGAACGAAATGTATTGTTATATTGGTATATTGCTTCTCAGTGGATATTGCATTGTTTCTCGAAGAAATATGTACTGGCAAAATTTAGAGGATACTAACAATAAAATGGTGTGTGCTGCCATGTCTCGTGACCGATTTCATTATATAATGCAAAA